AATTCGAATAGTTTTGGCCCAGAAAGTGGTTTATTTACCCACAGAGTGGTAGCAAAAAGTCCACTTTGCAGTTTGCAGTACAGTGATAACATTTTCTCTCTTGGACCGACTTTCAAAATGAGCTTTAGAGCTTGAAAATTAGTCCTACTGGAAACATTATCTCTGCAGACCAAAAAGTTATTTTTTAGGACACCTTGTAAATGAAAGGAATAGACCAAAAAATTCAAAACTCGATTCAAGCTCTAAGGTGGAAAATAAAAATCCTTGTTTTGTTCAATTGGGAAAATGACGAGGTTTTAAAACTTTTGCATCGCTTCAATTGCCGCCCTGGAAACTTTATCTAAAGTACTCAGTTTTCGCAAAAATCGCAAAAAACGACAAAATGTCGATCTATATAACATTTTAAACAGAAATCAAATTTCCAGCAGCAATCAAAAGTTATCCAGTTTCAAACTTAGGGCAAATCTGGTCGTCTAACTTTTGTTTTGTTGGGTACTTTATTTGAGCACGATTCAGGAAAAACTCTTAATTTTCTCTAGTTTCATAATTCTTTTTCTTGCTGAACTGAATTTTGGTAGAAAGTCAACTCAATCATCAATCTTTACCCAATCACCTTAAAACTGATTGGGTAATCAAATTTAATAGGCATTATTTAATTGCAGACACTTTTTACGGTTGCACCTTGCAATGCAATTTAACATGCGGTTTTCTCCGCATATTTTTCATACCATTTATGGGCTTAATTGTCGTCACTTTCTTTGACTTTGCTCAACCTTGACCATGCCGTTGCTTGATAGTGCTGCTGAAATTTGACGATAACTCGTCTGGATTTCCAGTTAAATCATTTGGTAGCGAGATGATGCAATTTCAGCAGGAAGTGGTCTCTGAGAAAATCAGCTTTGTTGGGAAATATGCCAGATTTTTATTTGCCGCCCTGTAGAAAAATGATCTCGAGTGCTAAAGTTTTACCAAAACACTAACAAAAAAACAAATAGGGCAAGATAAGGCTTCAAATAAAACCTAAATCGCTCCAAGCAATCAGAATTTATCCACTTTCAAAGTTAGAGCAACTTCGGCTGTGTAACGTTCATTTTGCTGAGCAGTTTATATTCAACACTTTCTTCATCTTGTTCAAATTATCTGAATTCATGCCACTTAAATGAACTTGACTGTTCAATATCAATCTTCTTAAGTAATCAATTTGTATTGGAATCCATATGGCGCTGGTGTGAAGCGTATGTTGAAAATTCAAGATAAATGGGCATTTTAACATCTGGATAGCGGCTCTGAGCGTCTGGAGTGTGGATTTTTAGTAGGTTCCGTCTGGGTCATTGACAGTATCGGTAAACCTGCATATAGCAGCGAACCAAAGTCGAAAATATTCGAAGAACCCAAAAGAGCGAATCACCTCGGGTTGATAAATTAGTTTCTTTGTTGGCTTTGGCTGCATTAATCATATAAGCAGATTTTTTCAGTTTTGTAAGTCACTAAACTTTCATAATGAGAATTGACCGAGCTGCAAGTTTTTAACATTTTTAGTAGTTGAAGGTTTTACACCTTCAAATGAGTTTATTGTGGTTTTTCAACCTTTCAACTTTTCAACCCTTGTTGTTGTAGCTTTTGTTCTTTTTAAGAACAAAACAAAAGTTAAAATTGTTAAAATTGCGGTTTGCTTTGAAGATTTAATTTTTGATCTACTAATTTTTAAAATCAAAAACTTCAGCAGAATGTTCTATATGAAGTTCTTATTTCATTATAAAAATAATTAAATTATGAAAAAAATTAAATTAAATAATCCCAATTATTATTAACAAACACAGGATTGATTCCACTAATTTTGAATAATGTCTCAAATTAACATATTTTGAATTACTCGTAGCCTCGAATGAGGAGAGAAGGAAAAAAATAAAAACTTGCCGATGTCAGAGAGAGAGGTAATGCCCTCCATTCTCCTGAGTCAAAGCCATTCTAATTAATGGCGAGAGAGAGAGGGCAATAGGAGTTAAAGGGCATTTTACTCGATCAAAGCGAGATGCAATGCGAGACAATTTGATTTAAACCCCAATAACGACAAAAATTTATTTAATTCGATTAAATAATTCGAATTATTATCAATATATTAGTAATCTCGATTTTTTCCCATTTTTCAATGCCAATTGGCACTGTTGTTTAAAAAACTTGTTTAAATAGTTTTCGGTTCTCACACAATTTACACGTTTTTAAATTCAATTTTACACACTCGCGTTGACCAAATAGAAATATTACTATTTATTTAATGTTTAAGTGTTAAAAGAAAGTTTATTTACAAAAGAAGAAAGTGGAATAATCATGTGAACACGCGAGTAAAACATACATGATGTTTTACATAAACATACGAAGAAGTAAAATAAAACGAAAGAATCCGAAATTTTGTAATCTCAGTAGCGGGCAAATGGATTTTTTTGCCCTATTCCTGCCTTGTTCTTTCGAGTCAAATCGACAAAAACAAAACACCATTTAAAACATTATATTTTTATTTATTCTTGCGTGACCAGGATGAGCCAATCTCCGTTTACGAGATACAGGGGGTGAAAAGTTTTTGTAGTTGTTTCTTTACAGCTTTAGCTTGCAGCAGCAACAACAAGAGTTGCACCAATATGCAGGTCGTAATTTATTTAGACTTACAGTCACTTTTATTCGCCCAATCCGTTTGGTAGACCGTCGCTGAAACATTTGAAATCTCTATTCATTTTGGTAACCCTGTATAAAAGATAAATTACGCACGTTTATCTGGAACTGAAACTGAGTCATGAGTAACCCATAGTGGGACTAACCCGGATGAATACGGTCATATGCAAATAATTGGGTTTTCATGTCAAATTAAAACATTTCTAATAGGATTTGTAGTGTTCAGAGGCGCCAAAATAAAATTACGCTCTTGAAAATACTTTAATGTACGTACAAGAGAGCTGGTGTATTGGCAATAACGAGTAAAGGTATTTGGGAACCGTTAACGAAGTCTTTATTTTTTTCAAAGCGAATTTTGCGGCCCACACGATTTCGCATCTCGCCCGGCCAATTTACGATGTATTTTTGTCGACTTTGGTACCAAATAAATCACGGGGCAAATAAATAAACGTGATTCCGTAATGGTACTATAACAACGAGAAGAGATGCATATACCGTTTGTAATATTGTCAATTGCCATGAATTATTATTGAAAATCGTCGAAATGGGTTCTTGACCCTTAAACCTACGACCTGTGAGACACAACTGGTTTTTGCTCGGATTTTTTCGGTCTTGATTTATTTTTTTTTAAATGCATATTTGATCTGCTGTTGCTTACCTACGCTTACCTACTAGAGAGAACAGTTGTTTTGCTTTGTGGGTTGAAGAAAAAGGCAATATTAGTATGCTAAAATACGTATTTTAAACATCTAGCTAATGAAAAAATCATCCAAATGAATAACAAAATTAAGATTTTGCAAGGTTGGTAAGTTTTTAAACCGGACACGCTGAATTAT